GATATATTTAATATATGAAATATTTTTAGTTTTGGATTTTTTGATTTTATGGATTGGTTTAATAATGACATCAAAATTGTCACCATGTTTAACTTTTGAAAAAATAAAACTAATTTAACGAAAATAAATATAAAAAATTATTTAAAAAAAGTATTTCTACCCTCTCAAAAGATAAAATTATATTAAAATGATTTATTTTTAATCTTTTTCAACAATTTAATTTTTAGTTGTTTAGAAAAAAAAATTCTGAAAATAGATTATGAAACCAAACCAAACGGAACTTTATAACAAAAAAAGTTCTAAATTATTCATTAAAAAAAAGCTATTATATTTCAAATAATATATAAGTTAACTAACACAAAATAAGTTATTTGACGACTTTGCCTTTCAAATAGAGTAATAATGTCTTCAATTGTCTTTATTTAAAATAAGATTCAAAATTCAGGATCAAATGTATCATAAAATTGAAAGATCATGAATCAAAATGACATAAACTTTAAAATATAGGGACTATGAGTATAATTTACCCTATATTATTTTTTCAAAAAAGTTGCAAGATTATTACATCTATTTTTTGCTACATGTAGAGAATTTCTGTGTAAAAAAATGCTCAAAAAGAACTCTAAGATGAAGATGGGTCTACACATGTAGGATCTATTTCCATGCATGATGTACATACAATTTCTGTGAAAAAAAATATATATATTTCTCATTGGGGAAGGGGGCAAGAGGAAACGGGTGTCGGTAGAAGAGAAGTGGGAGGATACATTTGCCTTGCCAAATCATTATTGAGAGAGCCTTTTACTCTTTCTAGTTTGCTTCTGGTGATGGCAACAACCCCGGACTCTTTTTCTTTTTTTTTTTCTCATTTTTTTAATAAATAAATTATATTGATCTCCTTTAAAATTTAAAAAAAATAAAATAAATCTTATAATTTTAATATAATTACATTGATCTTTTTTAATAAGATTAAATGGATAGAAATTGTGGATGGTGAATTTGTCTCTACACGGGATTAACGAGATAATGCGTCCATTCTTGTGTCTATAAGAGAAATCAAAGTTCACTTAGGTCGAGATGACTCTGACGATCAAGTTAGTTCTTTGGTCGGACATTGCCTGTATGTAAATAAGATAGAGATATATTTATAAGGCTTTTTTTTAGTTAACCTTGTGCGTCTTTACTTGTTTGTTGGACTCCTTGTTATAATTAACTAATACATTGTTGTGAATCGTTGATTGTGTCTTAATTGGACGATTAATTCTTGTAAGAGGTCTTTCGAATAGTAGCAAGCTTGCAATTGCTACTGATCATTGGATCTCTACTTATCTAATGGCTGGTTCTTCGTTAGATCAAGTAGAACCAAAAGGTTATCATCGGATCTTAGTTGATCTAACGGCCCTACTTCTTGTCAATGGTTTTGTTGGTGGCCAACTTACCCCTCAATCGTTGGGTCTATGCCAATCGAACATCTACTATTGTGTCAATTTAGTTAGTCTGAACCATATCCTGCTCGCCTTAGATATGTCACGGATCTAGTCGGCCCCTCTCCCCCTACTTACCTTGGGCCATATTTAGTCTGGATTTTTATCCGACCTGTTTGGGGCTATATTCCCATTGGGCTTGGTTTGGATTTCCATCCCCGGTAGAAACTAATGCAAATGTACGAAATATAAAAATAAACAATGCGTATTTAATTTCATATAAAAAAATGATAATATTATTTTTTTTATTCATATAATTAACAAATTATTGATAAAAATAAAGCTTAAGTGTTATATAAATTAAAATCTTAAGAGAGCTTAATATAATTACGTCAAAACTATAAAAATTATTATATTTTTTTTTCAAATCTCACAAGATTTAAGTGTCATTTACCCCCTTTATGTATATAAATATATAAATTCTAATACAGCCTATGCTGTTTTGACCAAATTTCATAATGGTCCTCTCACTCTTTATATTCATAAATTATTGTATAATGTAAGTATATCTTGGTTTCAATAAATAAAAATATATATATATATATATATGTATTTATCTTGCTTAACCACATGAGATATGATGATTACTCAATGTTGGATAAATTATAATAATTAAATATTTAATTCTAAATTTTAAATTTTAAATTTTTGTGTATAGAAAACTGTGATGACTATTTCAATTCAAACTCACATAATTTTTTGTTTTTAAATCATTAAGATCATTTCCAACGGTTCATCAAACTTTGCATTAGATTTGAAATTTGGTAAAAAAAATTACTTTTTGGAGCTCCAATGGTTTCACCAAATTGGTATCAAAATAAGAATTGAACAAAAATTCATCAAAGTGAGAACAGGCTCCAGATTTCACTATTTCACTGTGCATTACCATTGGGGTGGGCCAACAGGTTGTCCGGCCGGTTGACCCACTGGTCGACCGGTTCCCTTTCAAATAGGTAGGTTCAAACTGGTCAAAAAAGGTTCAAACAGGTTAAAAAAAAAATTACACTTACCGGTCGACCAGTCGATCGACCATTCCCATTTGATGCACGGTTAGAACAAATCATATCAGATTGAGAAAATTAACTTTTTTTTACTCAAATTTAATAAAAAATTTGATTCATCGTTGAAGATGCTATAAGTGCGCCATTTTAATAAATTGGTATCAAATTTATTGAAGAGAGTGATCCAATGTATCAATATCACTGTCCACAAATAGGGACTCAATTAAAGCTGAAGGACCAATCTTACCTTAGCTACAAATTATCATGGGAAAATTCTATGATGTGTAAATGTACCTTATGGTTCATTTTAGGGCAAATTACATATACACCCCTCGAGGTTTGGCTAAATTACAGATGCCCCCTGAGGTTTGAGAAATTACGAATTCCCCCCTGAATGCTATATTTGTATAAGAAATTAGGGGGTAATTTGTTATGAAATATAAACCTCAGGGGGCAAATTGTTATGAAAATACAAACCTCAGGGGGCGGGATGTAATTTCCGAAACCTCAGGGGGGTATCTGTAATTTAGCCAAACCTCGAGGGGTGTATATGTAATTTGCCCTTAATTTTATTATAAAATTATGTAAGTTTATAGAAACTTATATAAGTAATTTCATAAAAATTCATAAGTTAACTTACGTGAATTTGTATTTAACTTACATATTTTTAAGATATCATTTATATAAATTTATAAAAATTTATATAATTTTAGTAATAAAATTGCATACGAATACATTACACACTATAACATTGTGCTATTTTGAGAAGATGATTATAATAAATTCTTTAGTTAAAAGTTAATTATAATCAATTTTTTGTAAAAAAAAAATATAAATTATAATTTAAAAAGTGAATTATAACTCACTTCTCAAAAGATCCCAATCGGCTCAAATAGAGTGCAAAAATAATTTCGTTCACTCAATCTAAAAAGTTACCCTAATCATTGATTGGTTAAAAGTAAATATCATTCAAAACAGTGGCTCTTTTGACCAAACATAAATGAAGATTTTGTTTTTTTACTTGTCGAATGATTAACAAAATCAAACACAAGTACAAAGAGGTTGGAGATTCAAAGTGAGATACTAAGGCTTGGGTTGGGGAGTGGATTGGTTTTTTAATTTTTTGATTTTTTTGACTATTTTAGTCTGGGTTAAAAAATTTGATTTGGGAAGGACTTTTTGACTTTTTGATTTTTTGACTTTTTTGACTTTTTTTGTGAGAGAAGAGTGTAATGATTATGGATTGGATGTGATGTTTTGTTTTTTGTGACTAAAATAGTCTATTTTGTCTTTTGTGACTAAAATAGCTAAAAAAACTCCCAACCCAACTTGCCAAACGGAGCCTAAAAAATTAATAAAAAAATGATTTGCAAATAAAAATTGTATACGAATTTTTTTACTAAAATGATATAATAATGATATTTTTAAAATAATAAGTTATACTGATAGATCCTTTAGTTTGAAATAAATAAATACAAATTTATATAGCATCATTTGTATAGATTTTCTATATAATTGTTTGGGATAAATTATACTAACAATCTTTGGCTTGGTTTGGGAAGTGTGTTGACTTTTTGACTTTTTGGCTTTTTTAGCTATTTTAATCTGGGTTAAAAAACTTGGTTTGAGAAGAGCTTTTTGGCTTTTTTGACTTTTTTTTGTGAGAGAAGAGTGTAATGATTATGGGTTGGATGTGATGTTTTATTTTTTGTGGCTAAAATAGCCTATTTTGTCTTTTATGGCTAAAATAACCAAAAAAGCCCCCAACCCAACTTGCCAAACGGAGCCTTTATATTTTTGTCATTATATCATTTTGATTAATGTAATTTTAATTAGTTTGATTTTGATTTTAAATTTATGACATCATTTCAATTTAATCTAATTAATTAAAACTGTTACTTTTTTAATGAAAATTTTATGTAGGACATTTTATATTTTTATAGATAAAATTATAAATTTATTTAAATTTGTAAGTTAACTTCAATTAAATTATTATTTTTTGTCAAGAACTCTAACAACTCTAACAATGTTATTTAATGTAATTTTAATTAGTTTGATTTTGATTTTATATTTATGACATCATTTCAATTTAATCTAATTAATTAAAACTGTTACTTTTTTTAATGAAAAATTTATGTAGGACATTTTATATTTTTATAGATAAAATTATAAATTTATTTAAATTTGTAAGTTAACTTCAATTAAATTATTATTTTTTGTCAAGAACTCTAACAACTCTAACAATGTTATTAATTAAATCAAATTGACACAAAAAAATACGAGAATTAAAATTAAATTAATTAAAAATATAGAAATCAAAATAACAAAATAAAATAAAATATAAAGAGTAGTCATATATAATTTGCTCAATTATTTTTGTTCTTCTTAGATTATTTCTGACAAGTAATTAGTTGATAGGTTGATTAGAAAGCCCACCCATGTGGCTTCTGAGCAATTTTCTTATTTCTAGAAAGCCATCTCTCCATCAAAGCCATTAATTTAGTTATAAGAAGAACCCTTTAAAGCTTTAGAAACTACAACCTCCTCTCTCTCTCTCTCTCTCTCTCTACACCAGCTGCCACCCCCACTCAACTGAAGTTATCTGTCCTAATAAAAACCCATCATCATAATCATACAAGCCTCCACTGCATTAGCACACACTACTCTGCTTCTCTCTGCATCAGGTCAGTGTTTTCACACCCCCTTCTCATTGCATTACTTACCTCTTTGATTGAGGTACTATTCCTTGATACTGCAACAAATTTTGATGATGATTGATCTTTAGTGTTTATGGGTTAATGGGTTTTTCTAATTTCGGATTGTTATTTCTGTTTTTTCTTTCTTATTTGTATGATTTGATCTAGATTTGTTTTCTTTATCACTGTTGTTGTGCTGCATTGTGTGGTTGTAGACTCTTTATGCTCGCCGTGATGCTTTATAAGGGTTTTCTTGGTGTGATGTTCATCAAAATTGGATTTTGATCTGGGTTTTTCAAATGCTTTTATGTTCCTAAAGGAATTCAAATCTCTAGAGAAAAAAAAAATGGTTCTTTTATGTATTTCTCGTTCTTTTTGGTTAATGGGGACATTTTTTATGACTTGAAGAAGTTGTATAGTTATTCTTTCTAGTTTCCCATTGATGCTCACAGTGTGTTTGGGGTATTTTTCAGAGATCCAGAGAGTATGGTTTTCTCAACAGCTACATTGTAAAAATTGGATTTTTTTACCTGATTTTGCAAATAGAGTTTTGATCTAGTTGGGTTTTTTATTTTTATTTTTTTGGGTTTTCTATGATCATGTTATGGTTTGGTCAGGTTTTCACTAAGTTTGTGTTGAAAGCTTAAGATCTGAACATTTAGGTTATGTTTGGATCTTAGATTTGTGGAGGAAAACTAAGAGGGTACAGAAAAGTGAATGAAATAGAAACTCCCTTCCTTTTTCTTTCCCTGTGTAAATCCCTCCTGAAATCCATGATCTAAATACAACCTTATGACCTGGGTTTTAATCTTTGGGGGAAATTGGGAAGGTTTTTACCCTCATTCTGTGGTTTTAATTGGACTTTCCACTACTTTGCATCCATAAAATAATCAAAAATTACCCTTAAAATGACAATGTGTGAATGCAATTTTTTCTAATATGGCCCACATCATACCAAATTTTAAATTTGCATCATACTCTCTTCATTTTTTGGTACATAGCTTTTCTGTTGTGTTCATAGGCTAAGATCTCATAATGGTTTGCGTTAACAGCACTACTTTGCATCCATAAAAAACCGAAAATTACCCGAAAATGAAGTGTGAATGCATTTTTTTTCTGGGTACGGCCCACATCACAAAATTTGAATTTGTACCAATACTCTTCATTTTCAGAGTACATTGCTTTTCGATTGTGTTGATAGGCTAAGATCTGACAATGGTTCAGATTTGCTCCATGTAGAAATTTGCAGATATCCAGATAGTACAAGATTTGGGGGAAAAAATATGGATTTCACAGTGATTTTCATGGTTAGCACCACATTAGTGATTGTGTGTTCTCCATCAACATATGCCCAAACTCCTCAATCTCCAATATTCAGCCTGACTCCGGCTCCAGCACCGACACCACCATTCGTAAACCTCACGGAGTTACTCACAGTCACCGGCCCATACCACACCTTCCTCAACTACCTTCAGTCCACCAAAGTCATTGAAACCTTACAAAACCAAGCAAACAACACTGTGGAAGGGCTAACCCTCTTTGTCCCAACAGATGATGCTTTCGCATCTCTCAAAAAGCCCTCTCTCTCCAATCTCACCCAAGACAAGCTCAAATCAGTATGCCTATTCCATGCCTTGTCACACTTCTATAGCCTGGCAGACTTCAAGAACCTTAGCCAAATTAGCCCCGTTACCACATTCGCCGGTGGAGAATACACTTTGAATTTCACTGATGTGTTTGGGACTGTGAAATTGAGTTCAGGATGGTCAAACACAAAAGTGAGCAGCGCCGTGTATTCGACTGATCCGGTTGCAGTTTATCAGATCGATAAGGTTCTTCTTCCGGAGGCAATCTTTGGTACCGATATTCCTCCGACCCCAGCTCCCGTGCCAGCACCGGAGATTGCTCCAACTGCCGATACCACGAGGGAGAAAGGGACAAATGGGTCATCTCCGACAAATGGGTCATCACCAACATCTTCACCTGCATCATTTGCTTGTAGGATTGGAAGCTTTGGTGTTTGGAGTCAATTGGTTTTGGCAATTTCAGGTGGGTTTGTCTTGTTCTTGTAAGAGAGGATTTATTTGGGTTTTTTTTTTTTTTTTTTTTTGTTAAAAGTCATGTTAAGACTTATTTAAGTGGTACATTGATTCATTTGCTTTGGTTTTGAAGCCATTTTTTGATGATATAAGTTAGTGATGATACAAAGTATGGAATGTGAGTTACTCTGTTGTAATTACTTTCTTTATTTAAATGGCATTTTGCTTGCTTTGTGGTTTAATTTGATAAATTATGATTTTTTGTACAGGTAACAAAAGAAAAGAAGTCATTTTATTCGGGTGAACATGAAAACATGAACATAGGTGTCTTTTTCATTTTTTTTTTATTCTCTGTTTTGGCAATTTTTTTTTTTTTTTGTACAATTTCTTATCTCCTCAATCATCCAAAGAAATAATAATATAATCCTTTTCCTTTGTCACCAAATCCTTTGATCCAAACAGACTATTTGATCCCTTATCCTTGTCCTTTGTTTCAGTTAAGCCCAAAACTATCAAATTAAATGTTGACATCCAATTCATGTAGTTGCATAATTGCATTGATCGTCTTGTTGCTGCACAATCCACCTATAGGGATATTAATTCAATAAAGTCTAATCCAAAATGGAGCTATCAGTCACAACAACACACTCTACTACTAGTATTGAAGGTGTTTTTATTTTTTGTTTTTCTATTTTCATTTTTAAAAAAATACCAATCGAAAAAATAAGACTATTTGGTCGGCAAACTGTTTCAATTTTTTTTCTTTTTTGTTTTGGTAAAACAACCCACTTTTCAAAAATATATATATATTTGCAAAAAATAAAAATCAATAGATATTTATGTACTTTTCATAACATGGGCCACACCACACCATTAAAAAAATAATATACTATTTGGTCGGCAAACTGTTTTAATTTTAATTTAATTTTTTTTTTTTTTTGGTAAAACAACCCACTTTTCAAATAGAAAAATGTTTGGGAGCACTAAAAAATGATCACTAGAGGGAGCATTAATGATGTGACAGTGGGCCCCGCCCACTTTCTATGCCTTGTTTTTATTTATTTATTTGCCATTCCTAATGTATTAGTACTATTAGTGGCGTATTTTTTAGTGGTCTAAATCATTGTTGTTTCAAATATATATATATTTATTTGAAAAAAATAAAAATCATAGATATTTATGTACTTTTTCGTAACATGACCCACACCAATGTTTTGAAAATCGGATCGGTAAACGAACCGAAAAAGAGATGGAATGGACGGGTTACTGATTCAACTGTCGGGTTAAAGTGGTTGAACCGTGACATCATAATTAATATTATATAATTATAAATTATAAATAAATAAAAATATATATAAATACTCAAATAAAAATAAAATTTGTTGCATAGTATTTATTAATAATATTTAATAAAATCAAAATTGATAAGAAAAAGTCCCTTGCTTTAAAGAAATTAATTTTTTTTTGATATTCTCTCTAAACAAATTAATTGAATGCTAGATTTAATTTTTGAGGAAAATTAAATTTTCAACTCTCATTCCAATCAATATGATTTAAATAATTTGATTGAATCTACATAGAATTTTGTAGTTTCTCTTTGAATTTTTTTTCCCTATAAATAGTAATACACTTTCATAATCTCCTCAAGCTTCCAATGAGACTTCTCCTTATGAGAGGAGACTCTTAAAATAAGAATTTGTAGTTAAAATTTTAAAAAAAATAAAATATATATATATATAAGAAAAAAAAAGAAAGAAAAGAAAAGAAGAAAAAAAAAAGTTAAAGACAGGATTTAAATAAATAAAAAAATAAAAAAGGGGCCGACCCTCAAAACCCAGTCCGGGTCACCGGTTCTAGTAGTTCAATTGCCGGGTCTACCAGTTTTTCAATTTTACACCAGTTTTGCCCTTAGTCAGGGTTTAAAGGGTTTCCGGACCGGAACAAGGCCCGGTTCCCAGTCCGACCGGCCTGTCTGGTCCGAGTTTCTAAACAATGGCCCACACCACACCAGTTAGAAATAAAAATGCATGAATAATGGAAAATTCTATAAAGGCATGTATCATATGTCATTATAATTTTTATGAATTTTTATTATGTTTTATTGTAATGTAAATGTTAATTTATTGTGGTGTTAATTATGACACTGCACTTTGTGACACTTTGAATCTTAATTTATTGTGGTGTTAATTATGATACTTTGTGGTATCAACACCACACATCACAAAGTGTCACAAGTTGCACATGATTCACTTATTTTTAAAGAGTGTGTATTGTAGTATTATCCGTAAATAATACTCAAATACGTGAATCTTACACTCAAATGTCTTTTATTTATTTATTTATTTATTTTAATTTTGGTGTTAATCCATAGAAGAGTAATTATAAATAAAAGAAATACGTACATCATTTAAATAAACTCCAAGTCTACAATAGTTAAAAAAAGCAACAAAACCGAACACAACCAATATACCAGGCTCATTAAGCTTAACAATCACTACTAACTACATGCAATTAGGGTAAAAAAAAATTGTCAAATTTATTGGATAGAATGCCCATTAAATTTGATTCAAATAACAAAAATTGCAACCAAATACTGAAATGTGAGTTTTATAAATTATAATTCTATCTCATGGATCTCATGGTATAATGATTCCACCTAAAATGATAAAACTCCACTACTCTACACCAATCAAAATGTGTGAACAAAATTGAACACCCCAACTTAATACAATTCAGACCGGAGGAGGTGGGTCTCATGTGACATTTTGGCAAATTATATGATTTTGAAAATTAGGAGTACTTGCGGATCAAGTTGGGTAGGTGGCCTTTCATTAAACATCCATCTATGCCAATAGGGAAAAATAAATACACATTCGTCTATTTAGTTAGCATATGCAAATTGAGTAGGCCGTGAGGGTTGGTAGATAGATGCGAATCGATTTGGTGGTAAGACCTTACTATTTTTTACATTTTTTTGAACTATTTTCCAGTAATTCTTTTCTATTTTGGGTCTAAATTTTTTATTTTTCATTTCTTGTAATAAAAATAAGGCTCAATTTTCATATTTCATACATAGCAAATATAATTACTAAATAAAATGCCTTTTTTTAAACACACAAAGTATAAGCATAAAATCATTTTTTTAGGGGTGTTGATGGATCAAGTTGGGTCAAGTGACCTTCCATCTGTCATCTGTCTGAGCTTAAGTGAATTGAAAGAAATACATATGCATCCATCTGATCGGTCGAGTAAAATTGTCCATCATGTAGCGGATTAGTTTAGGTTATTCGGTTTTAGTTGATTGGATTGATGCTAACGCAGCCATAGCACACACAAACAATTTTATAGTACATATACTCTGTTTGAGATTGAATCAGCAAGTGGCCTATTAGCTCAGCTGGTTAGAGCGCCGTCGTGCTAATAACGCGAAGGTCGCAGGTTCGAGACCTGCATGGGCCATTTTGTTTTTCTTATTCTGCCTGCCAGTGGCCGTTTGTGAAGCAAATTAACGATTCCATCTCTTTTTCTTTTTTTTTATACATTTTTCTTCAACAGTCATTGGGATTAAATTTTGAGCTTCTCAATTGACACTTTTGTATGACGGAATTTTATTTTCAAATTACCCTTTTGTAACAAAGAATTAAAGCATTGGTTGTCTGTAACTACCCACTCAGTCTATAATAGCTAATTTTAATCCACAATAAAAATTTTAAGCACACACATGAGTGTGCACAACTTCTAATGTAGTCCATATTTTCATTAGTTGATATTATTTTCTCATTTTTTTTTTCACTTACGATGTATTCAACAACAATTATGGGCAGTTTGGAGTGAGCTACATAGGCCACTTATTTTTTTTTATTATTTTTTTATTTTTGTTTTGGTGACTCTTTTTTTAAATTATGTAAAAATATTTATTTTTTTAGTCAATCTTGTATTATGTAGACGAATCTAAAAAGTAAATATTTTTTGAAAAAATCAAATTAAGCAAATAAAAAATTAGGGGTGAGCATGGTCCGGATTGGACCGGATTGGGGTAAAACCAAGACCAATCCGTTATCTACGATTTCTGAAAAATTGGAACCAATCTAATCCATTTAAATCATGGAACCAATCCGAACCAATCCATTTAAATACGGATTGGATCGGTTTAGGACCACGGATTCACGTAATTAAATAACAAATATATATATATATATATAACACTTTAATTTCATAAAAATATAAACATAGCGCTATATCAGTTCCATAATAGCAACATGTTTTTCTATAATAGTGACATACTGTTCTTGAATTTAAACAACCATAAGAAAATACAAACAAAAGTAATAAAATAAGATATTATACGGTTTTAGGTTTGAGTTTAGATTTTATATAGAATAAGAGAAGATACTATGGGGAGGATGTATAATAAAAATATAGACTATTTGTATACGGTCCGGATCGGTTCCAATCCGGAACCGTGGGGTTTAATCCGGAACCAATCCGTGAACTACGGATTTTTAATTTTTCAATCCGGAACCAAACCGCGGATTCAAAAAACCAATTCAAACCTATCGGATTGGACTGGACTGGATCGAATTACGGATTTCATGGATTCCTTGCTCAGCCATATAAAAAATTCACTATTTTGGGCTTATTTTTGTCTTTTCTCGACATTTTTTTAGAACTGTCAAATTTTTCGGTTTGCCTTGTCGAGTTGAATTTAGAAGCCTAAAGATTTTTGAATTTATTTTTTTACCAAAGATGAAAATAAGCGCAACCCCAAAAAAAAAAACAAAACAAACAAACAAACAAAACAAAAACCCACCAACTAAACAAATCCTTTGAGAACAAACTTATAAGTCAACTTATTAGTTTATTGGCTTATTTGAGTGATCTCTCTATTTTTTGTATTTTTTTTTATAATAAATCAAAAATTTAGCTTATAAGTTCCTTTTCAAAACAATCCTAAAAAGGCCAAAAAAAACCACTTAAACTTTTTAACTCGGGTAAATTACAAATACACCCTCTGAGATTTGATTAAAATATGAATCACTCCTTATAATTTTGAAAATTATATTTCACCCCCTGAGATTTCTAATTTCATAACAAATCGCCTATTTTATTAATAAATTATCAAGTCAATTGTTTCAATTAATAATTTAGGTAATTTTATTATTATGTAGGAGAACAATTGTGAATTTCATTTTTTTAGTTAATTCTGTTAAATAAAAAATTATAATGAGGG